AGCCAAAGCAGCCAAAAAAAGAGAGGAAGAATAACTCTAAACCTCCTGCATGTTGTGGCTTGCGGGTCGCTCCATGTAGCTTTTCAGTCATCCAGAATGATGCCTGAAAATAGAAACCCCCCGGCCACCCGATACGTCCCCCGACAAACATGGCAAAAAGGGAGGGCCGGGGAGGGGGGGGGAGAGAGAGAGAAAGGGAGAGGCGGAGAGGGGAGAACCTCCTCCGGCAGCCGTGATTAGCCGGATCTGAACCGGGGAAGCCGACACCGCCCGGCTTTCCACGCGTTAGCCGGCGCAAAAAACCTGAAGCAATTAATCTGAGACGTCACCATCTAACTCATCAGCACTTAGACTCCACTCTAAACCATCTAAATGCTGTTTTACAGCCAAACGAAACTCCTCTGCTCAGAGAAAAACCTCCACAAAGCGTTTTTACGGCCAACCGAGCAGTTACCTTTCGTGCGATTGGCTCCTGTCCCTCCATCAGCCCGTACCAGCTGACCAGCTTATTCCAGCCCTCCGTCGGGACCAGGATGTAGTCCAGCTCATCGATGAGGTGCTCCTTAATGGCCAGCACGTCCCCGTCTAGAGAAGCACGCCAAGGGGGTGAAAACACACAGAAAAAGGGGGGACGATGGAGAGCTTTCCGTAAACATTCCACACCCGAAAAAAGGCTTTCTAGAGTCAGTGGACAATGCTGTTTTTGTGCCTGATTCCGTGGACTCTTTGTTGGCACTTCCAGAAAAATGAAGCCCAAAACAGACCTTACTGTCACTATTTTAGAAATCAAATTCTCCGTTTTTTGTGTTGAAGTCACAGACATTGACGGATACTAACAGTACAAGAAACTTGACATAAACATTTGGTGGCGTCCAGGATCTAGAAAACAACTCAAACATGCCCTGGTTATCCAGACGCCATTTCGACACCATTTAATGAAACCAATCCGCTCAAGTAACAGAAATCAAGCAGGTCTGGAGTCATAGATGAGACAGAATTCTTCTTACCTTTGAGAACCCCGGAGTTATCAACCGGTCCCGGGTACACATTCTGGTCCCCCATCTGGTATTTGTCCCAGCTATCAAACCCCACATATTTCTTCCACTGTTTGAACCAGTGACTGTCCACTAAGTACCTGGAAAGAAGACAACCAGAATAATCTGAGTCCTGGATTTAGGTGAAGCATACAACAGGCTATCTCACGTATCCCTCAGCCCCTTTAAACAAACGTGGTTCCGGGGAGCTGATACTTGACCGTCTGATAACTTTAACAGTGGCTTTCTTGACTCCGGGCTCAGGTCAAGTTGCTGCCTGCCAGGCCAGCTGGCTCTGAGATTTTGACAGGTGGTTCCTTTCCGACTCCGCCCTGCTAAAGATGACGGATGAACCCAATGACTATAAAAACCACTTGGAGCGACGGCTGCTAGCAGAGTTAGCTTCTCGCCTGCTAGCTAACCGGAGCAGAAACGAACCGCTTCCGTTCTGGTTTAAAACCCTTTCAACGGATCGCACGCGACCGTGATTTAAAACGTCCGAAACCAACGGCCCAAATCTGACACATAAATGTCCGGTTGAGGCTGAAGTCGGGCAGCTAGCGTTAGCTTATCCGCTGCTAGCATGAGAGGCTGACACATGAAACTGAAGGCAGCCGTTAGCTTCCCCGGAGCTCACTGTCAACACGGCCTGAACCTCGGCTTTTTCTATCCCTCCGTGGGGTTGTCAGGCCCGGTAAAACCGGTCGGCGGTAGCGGAGCCTCCACCGGGAGATTTCCGGTCACGTCTTACCAAGTGTCTCCCTTCCTTAGCTGTGTTTTCAACAGAGCCGCGACCTCTCCTCTCTGGGTATCCAGATCTGCCGCTCCTCCTTCCGCCATCTTTCCTCGGACATCGCCCGATGCATGCCGGGAAAGCGCGGCGCGTCATTCAAGCACGTACAGTGACGTCAGCCCGCTCCAGCCAATCACGTCCTCGGCGGCGACGGAGGGGGAGCGTGACACCAAGCGGTGGAACATTTCTAGAAAATGTTTCAAAAGTGCTCCATCATCGTTGCTGCAAATGCTTTCAAATGTACAATAAGCTTATAATTATGAACATAACTTAATCATCTGTGTTTCTATTCTCTGCTCAGCTCTGTCCAGCTAACGGGCGCCATGTTTATTTTATAATAACTCAAACATAGGAAGAGTAAATTGGCAACTTTAAATAAATTATGTTGATACTGCCTTTAGTGTTACAGGTACAGAATGACCAAAAATAAGACAAAAATAGACACAAATAAATAAATAGACTAAATGAAATGATTATATATATGTATATATAGATTATATATATATAAAATTATATTATAATACATATATTTGAGAAACTGCTTTTGTCTTTTGTTTTGTTTTTGTATAGAGAAATCTATCAAATACCAACCATGACCAATATTTCTGAAATATTAAAGTGAAATTCAAAGACAATGGCTGACCAGTGCAAGACATTAAACAATTTTTTATTTAAAACCACACTTACAAGACTCACATTTCTATGTACAGTCCTATTATGTTACATTAAAACAAATTAAACTTAACTTCATATGACATGTTAGTTTCATAGTATGTTAGTT